AGAAACTTTTTAAAATTTTAATAGTAAAACTAAAAAATCAAGTTTATTAAAAATGTAATATCTTTATCAAAATTAAATATAGAATAATAAAATTTAAATATATTATATATAAAAGGAATATCTTTAATTCTATTCAATAAATAGAGGGGGTCAAGCTTAAATAAATTTTAAAAAAACTCAAAAAAACTTTTTAAAAATGATTTTAGCAGACAATTTTGGCCGCTAAACAGTTTAAGGAATAGTATATATAATACCAGTATTGAGCACAATTCTAAGTCCAGTTTTTAAAACTGGACTGAACTGGACTGTTCTATTAGAACTAGTTTTAGTTTTAGTCTAGTTCAGTTTTCATATAATTTGTTTAAAAAAAATTTTATTGGCTATAGGTTTTATATTATTTGTAAGTAAATTTTTTTAAACTAATTTTTTTAAGGAATTGATATTTCTACACCCTATTTCAGTTAGGGGATTTACCAAATTAGGAAATCTGATTCTAGAATGATCCACATGCCAGATCTCAAATTTGATTAGTTTGTATATACCCTTTGGTCAGCATTCTTCAGGAATTTTTTATACACCTAACCCATTATTAAAAAAATACCTTAATAGACGGTAAAAGACTGCTAGTTTCAATAATCAAAATTAATTAGCACTGGTTAACTCTTGCCAAAAAGGTGAATGAGACTCAAAAAATTGCAAGATTTTATGCATTTAAGAGGCCAACGTGCAAAAATCCAAGAACTATCACAACAAGATTTCGACTAAACAAAGAGTGTTTGATAAAATTTTATTTGATATTAATCTTGTATTCAGACCTAATTGTTTTGGATCTGATTATTATATTAAATTATCTATGAAATGTATAGGGCCTTTGAAATTCGAGCTTAGAAATCTTGGGCTAAATCATTGAATTATATTTCAAATAGGCTGGATCTTTGAATCATAAAACTATGAAGTTGAATACAGTAATAGTACTCAGTGTCGAAGATAAGTATATATAATTATTAGCTTGAAATTTATTATTATGCTTTGTATTTACATTACTAATTGTCACCTTAAAGATATCAGTCACATTGAGATAAGCTCTGAAGAAGAAACTACGAGAGCTAGGTAAGCATTAAGGTTTTAATACTTTTAGTATAATTAACCTAAGTTATTTTATTTAATTTATTAACAAGTTATTATAATCAAATATGGTAGAGCTATTAATATGTGTGGAAGGTGCAGCACTGGTCAAAAAATGTTAGCATCAATTATAATTAGATTGGTATTGGCAGAAACTTTTTGTATAAATTATGGTATTTTCGTTCTTGATGAACTTACTACAAATCTTAATGAAGGGAATTTTGAAAATTTGGTAGCTGGCGTCGAGGGCAGTCAAATGTTCAGTTGATTACTATTACTCATAATATGGTTGCATTTATCAATACGGTATCAGTATTATTAAAGATGAAAAGAAGGCTTTTGATTATTATTTGAAAGCAGCTAATTTAGGAGATTCAGATGTGATGAATGAGATTGGTTTTTGTTATGAATATGGATTTAGTGTAGAAATAAATTACCAGAAAGCATTTAAATATTATAAGAGATCTGCTAATTTGGATAATGTTTATGCAATGCATAATATTAACTTTTCAAGAATAATAGGGAAGCTAATAAGTTTATCAAAGCTTCAAAGAGAAAGTAAGTATAATTTTACTTTTAAATGGTTATTACTAATCAAGTTTTCATTCAGAAATACTAAGTTTTTTGGAATTCCTAATGGCATATTCATTCCAGGATCTATAGTAGGTGTATAATCTGCTGTTGAATCAATGTTACAGAGATTATTTTGTTGAAATAGTTTAACTTTAGTAAAATTTTGTCTGTCGTATAGAAAATATGCCACAGTATTTAAAGTTGTTGAAGTAGGTTGTTTATTATCTGATTTACTGAATGATTCATTAAATGATTCACTGAATAAAAAGGAACTTTATTCTTATTAGAATTTTTTACAATCTTAATTGCTACTTCTTCATATTACTCTGATTTATTTAAATATTTGGTTCTAAAAAATTTTTTTTTTAATAATATAGAAATGGATATATATATCGTACCCTCCATTCAATTAAATCTTCATAGTTCATGGCTTTAAGTTGTAATTCTTTAATACAATCATCGAAATTCTTATTTTCATTTGCCCATCCTTGCATTGTTTTCTGAAGGTCACACATCTGACACCAAGCTGGCGATATATTATACCGATTGCAATTTGCACATTTTCTATTTTCACTCTTTCTTGCAGTACCAAATTCATCAAATACCAACATGTACTTATTTTTTGTAGTGTGTTGAGTTAGTCCATATACTTTAAGGTTACTATTTCTTAATCACATTAATCATATGAGATCTTTAAACTTATAATAAATGGAATATGAATACATTTTTAAGTTAAAATTAATTCAATAAATAATAAACTTACTTCTTTTAAAAAGTTTACTGAATTTTGAAAAC